TATCTGTAGAAAAAAGGATTTTTTAGTCTCAACAATTAGAAAAGTATATTTTATCCAAATGTTCGAATCTTAAGGGAAAAAAATTAGAAGCCATATCTTTCCTCCCAATTTTCCTATTTTAACGAACTTTTTAGGAAATTTCATAAACTGTTAAAAACCATTACCTTAGCGAAGTTTCATTGAAATCGATCCATTCGTTTAGGCGCTGCAGTCTATAGCAACGCAGGTTTTTCTGCATTCTTATTTTTTTCTCCTTTATTAACTTATCAAATTCTTTCAAAAGTTATATGTAGCATTTTTTAGTAACTCTGAGTAATGCGAAATGATTAACTTTTTAAAATAAACCATATTAAAGGTACTTTAGAGGAAGACATATATGAACATTGGGCATTTAAGCACTGTAAGGTGACATCAACCTAAATGATATTAAAGACCACTTAATTATACAATGATACAACGAGTTTAATCACAATCGTTAGAACCGTTGTTGAGAAAATTGTAAAAATGTGTTTCAGCGTTTATATAAAGTGGCACTTCCGGTTAGCCGATTTTAACAAAAAAGTTGCTGTCACATCCGGCCCAGATACATAAATTAAATACTTAATATCACTTTCATACTACTTTTCGTTTATGAGCTAGACTGTTAACACACACACACACACAGACCATTTTGCGACACTTTGTTATTTGGACTCAGGGGACCTCAAAACATGTATTTCCGTTTAAAACTGAGATTCAAAAATTTTCACGATCGCAATACTTACCCTTACTATATATAACATATATTCATTATTGGCACAACAGACGCATGTAGCGGTCCTTGGCCTGCTCAATTTCCTTTGCCCAGTCATCCCTGTTGGCGATAGAAAGTTAAGAACAAACAGTGAAAAGATGACTTATCGAGTATGGATTGAAAACACATTCCCCAGCTACCGGACCTCTCCTTTGTAGAGAGCACAGCGTTCAGCACTCGAGATTTAGCACGGAATACTAAAAGTGAAGAGTGAAAGACTGGAGCCAGGTAATATTCAACAAAGAGTCTATATTCAGCCTACAATGTCCGATCTCATGTTGCTATTTTTTTTCTTCTATGGCTCTGCAACTTGTGTAGAGCTAGAGTCTCATGGAGCTTCAACCGCCAGCCATCTTCAAAAAGTGAACCTGCCTTCCGTTCGGGTGTCTGCTTTCGATCCACCAGCCTATCTAAGTTTAGGTATACCCAGCAGTTTTAAAATAAATTCTTTCTATCAATAATGTTCTCAATAGTTATTTATTTTTTTTACATCCCTATCGCATTTGAAAGGCAATACAGGTTTTGGCAGTAGTGCGATGTTGCACATGTCTACGTAGCATCATAGCACATTGCTTGGTCGTATTTCTTAAGGCTTGGCCACGATCTTCCTCCGTCCGACGGCCTTCTACGTTTAGCACCTCCTCTTCTTCCCAAGTGGAAATGAGTTGGGCCAATAATTGATTTCCATCTTGATTGAAAATTTTCGAAGTATGAATTGTTTTCCGCACGCATTAGCTGAGGGAAATTGCTCGCTATCAAAGCGTAGAGACCGGATTCCCTCAGCAGTTTGGCTATCAGTGCCTCTTTCGCAGTACAGACTACGACTATGAAAAAGTTTTAATCCAGAGAACAAGGGGAAAAACATGGACCAGACCACCACAAATGTATTTGTATATGATCTACGATTTTTCTAATTTTACTTTCGCTTGCACTATTTTTAAAAACAGAGGGGCAAACCCCTGCAACGGGCTGTTATTATTTCCAAGTTGAAAGAGTTTTATTCGGGAGACAGCGAGTAGTTGAGAGATCCAATAATCAGGTTCTACCCATTTTGCAATACGTCCATGGGTGTACTCTCATATTGCTTTTTCCCAACTATCCGATTCTTGATTGATCTTCACACGGAGGTTCTCTGGTAGACCTGCTGAATCTTCTTTTAATATCTGATGGTTGAACAAATCTTCCTGCAACAGAAGTATTCCTCTTGCCAGGACCTGCACCGCCTCATGAGACACTGTAAGCCCTGGTAACTCGAAGCAGAGCCATCCGTTGAATCGACGTCTACTTGCTCTTCTGGTGATGCGAGAGATCCTGATTCCAGCCAGGAGTAATGTTATCAATATATGCCACGAAAGCAAACGTGTATATTCCATCTTAATCTGCGAATCCTTATTACTTCACAACGTCGACATCCTGATATAGCTCCTACATGGTTAGCTCCATGGATAGCTCCTGCACATCGATGGTTAGCATTCGTCATTCTTGGATGCTATTCAGTATTGGGCCAAATATTCTAAACGCGACGCTCAAATCGAAGTAGGGCTGCATCTTCAGTTCTTGATTTTGTCCAGCACTCTAAACCATATGTAAGCAGTGGAGTGCTTAAAGTTTTGTATATGCGTAGCTTGGTTGTGGTTGAGATCACTCGGCTTTTAAAGTGTCTTTCTAATGTAAAGGATAAAATAGGCTCTATTTGAGGTCATTAAATGTCTCTGGATCTGGATATTTATATCATTATTTATAATAACATATGAGCCAAGGTATATAAACTCAGACACACAGTCAAAGTTAAAGCCCTCAATTTCCACGTATGCTTCCCTGCGGTTCCCACTCCTTAGATCGGTTCGCATATACTTGGTTCTATAAACATTTATATTTAAGCCAACTCTTGATGTAGCTCTTGGCAGGACTATAAAGGCTTCCTTTATGACTGTAAGTAATCTCCCAGCCAATGCAATGTCATTGGCAAATCCTAACAGTTGCACTGAGTGATTAAAATTTGTTCCACCTGAATTGATTTGCGATTTCCTAACTGCACATTCTAGGGCAATGTTAACTAGGAGACATGCCAAGCAATCCCTTTGGTATAGTACTTTATGCGTTTCAAAGTTCTCGTATGACATCTTGAATTTTGACAGTACATTTCACTTCTTTCATTGGAACTCATATTAGCCGCATACGTTTAGATGGGATACTCAGGTCTACTATATCTTGTTATAGTTCATCCCTTAGGATCCTGTCATAGGCCCTCTGATAATCGATGAAGAGATAATGTATGCACATATTATCCCTGGCCATATCGAGGATTGTTCTGATCCAGAATATTTGGTCGATTATAGCTCTTTCTCCCAAGATTCCAGCCTGATATATGCCTACTTCTCTCTTCGCCAATGGGAATAGCTTCTGAAAGAGATTTTCTTGAGTGGATATATCCACTCATATATCACAGGATATATTATCAGCATATATGCTGATGGCAGCAAAAATATCCTGCATTATTTGTGACAGTTGAAAACTTCTAACATTGCCTTCTAACACCTCTTCTATCGCTGATTCAGATCTTAGATTCACTGATATTTCTTATCTTTCTATCCATATATCTAAAGAAACTTCCTCATTTCTCATGATCTTTAAACGCTCAAGGTTAAACCTTTTTGGTTCTATACCCGTTGGACTATTACCATTGATAATCGTGCTCTGGTTATTGCAACTGTTAGGTTCTGTTCAGAATCATTTGCTCCTATAGACTCTGACAGCCTGGAGATCTGAATTGTGCATTTAGCTCACCAATATAAATTATTCTAGTTTGAGTTCATTCCATCGCCAGATCGCCAAATTGCTAGATGTATCCTATTATGAGAGAACATTATGCTTAATATCATTAAATCCGTTGAGGCTGGAAAATTGCTTGACCTCAGCTTACTCTCATTTGTGTTATTATGAACACTGTAATCCCGTTGTGGGTTTATATTATGGTTCCTTCCCTATTTGAGCATTGAAGTCTCCAATCACCATCTCGTGGACAACAATGCACTCATCGTTCTAGGTCATTGTAAAAGCGGTCCTTTCCCTCTTCTTCGGGTGGCTCTGTTGGGGTATGAATTCTTATGAGCCTGAAATTATGGAACTTACCTTTCATTCGTATATAGTAATCTAGAGTTTACAGGAGTAAAAACAATTACAAGTTGAGCCAATTTCCTACTGATAATGAATCCCGTTCCAAATAAATATGCAGTCGATTATAACAGACGCTATTTTGCCCTAAGGTATGTACTATATATACTATACCCTAGGGTATATGTTTGACCTTTGTATGTATGTGTCATGTGCATGTAGTGTGGTGTATTTATTGAACTGTGTGTCTGTGTCAGAGTAATTGTTTCCCTCAACCTGGAGGTCCAGTGGCTCATTGCAGTAATAAGACGTGCAAAATGATTTCAACAAGAAGAAATCAAGGTTATAGCTTGTTCACCCATAGGTCCGGACATGAAGCCAATTTACTAAGTTTGAAACATGCTTGAGAGACGTGTTCGCACTCGAGGTTCTCAAAATTTAGCCTATTTTAAAAGACTTTCAGTGGATGAGTGGAACAACATCCCGGAAGAAGACATTTGGTCAGTAGAATGAACAGGAGAAAACAAGTAATCAGGACTAGAGCAGAAACCACCTTCCACTAATTTAATTCAATAACCTGTATTTTTCCATATTTTTAAAATAAAGATTTAAAAAAAGTTATTTATTTATCGATTTATTGGGTATTTTTATAAACTATACTATCAGACTCAAAAAGAATCATTTTAAAAATATTCATTTAAATTCAATAAATTAAAATTAATGAAATGATCCTTTGATTTTGTCCGGCAAAGTAGATTTAAATTACGTAGTGTATCCTTTGATATCCATTTATAAATATTATATTGACTTTGAGCCTACAATATTTATTTTTAGGATTACGACGTATATTTCGTAATATATGAAATTATTCAGCATTAAAGTACGACAGTTTATGTTTTGGATAGGAATCTTTATTGTTTATGTTTAGGAATCGTTTTTATAATTTATTAGATTATTTTGAATCTTTCGTTTCTTCGTTACATATAATCATTAAAAACAACTTGGAAATGAGCTTTTATTGATATAATTCAAGCAATTTTAATTGCAAGTGTAATTCACAATTGAAATTCTAATTCTATGCCCATATTTTGTAACCTTCCGCTTTGAATTCTATTCATTTAGTTTAATTGAAGCAATACAGTTCAGTTTTATTTATACCTATTATTTTTTATATGATTAAAATATTAATAAAATATGCATTGTATTCATTTATTCAACTTCCTGAAAGAACTATTCTACTGATAAGATCTCGTATGTATTGGAATGTGAAGTACCGTTATGTGGACTTTCTTCAGGCTATAACTTTTTTTTACCTTTTTTAATTCTTCATTTAGACATGTTACATTAATATTTTGGATTAAGGGAGTGTGCAATTTCGTAAAATAGAATGACATTAAAAAGTAGTAGTAGTTCAAAAAAGAACAAGAAGCATAAATTGGACATCAACAAATTCAACAACCCCGGTATATTAAATGATTCTAGCAACAATGATTGTCCTAATGGTGATACATTAGAAAATATACCTATTAAAACTCAAGAAAGTAAAGATGAGATAGCAATGTGTGTTAGAGCACAGGTAGGAAGAGGCAGTTAATTTCATTATGATTTAGATTTTAACTTTAATAATATAGCATTGAATGTTGTTAGGGAGATGGTCAGAGTTTCGACAAAAGTATTGAGGTAGTTGAATCTTTAAGTCCAAACACATTTATGAATCCCCCTAAAAGGTTTCGAATTAATGTTGAGTTGGATATCATTGCTATTGGACTGACAATATTAGCCTTATGTACCAGATTTTATAGATTAGAGGAACCCCCAAACATAGTGTAAGTAAATAACTTGGCTAGTAATAATGTTGTTTATATAAAGTATTTATAGTTGCCAACTTATGCTTTCAGTTTTGATGAACTTCATTTTGGTAAATACGTAGGGATGTATGTGAAGAAAATTTTTTTTTTCGATCTTCATCCTCCTCTTGGAAAATTATTAATCAGTGGAGTCGCCTATCTTGCTGGTTTTGATGGTATTGGATTTATTTAGTAATATGGAACAATTACTAGATGTATATAATTTTTAACTTTTTCAAATATTATTTGAAACTACTGGTTTAAGTAGGATTTCAATTATTATTATTTATGATCATTAATGTCATTAAATCATTACTTTGATATTATATTTAAGAAATCAGTCTATTTTTTAAATACTGACTGATCTATAATTTATAGTAAAGGATTTATTATTAATCTTACAATAGAACCAATAAAAAACAAACAGAAATTCTATAGAGCAAAAGAAATTGAATTTTCCAACCTTTATATTTATATAATCCTTTATTTGTAGAGATTTGTAGTGTTTAATTGCTTTTTAGATGAAGAAAGGGGAATATTTTAACATGAAGGAATTTCTATAAGTGGAGGACATTTGTTTAACAAAACTTCAAACGTTTTAGCTTAAGGGCTCTTCCAATAAATCCTATGGGCCACATTGACTCCTCCACAATTGAACTAGCTAGCTCATCATATCAACATATTTATAATACTAATTACAGTTAAAATAATCGATTCTTTATATATAACAGTTTTTTAATGAAATAATAAAAATGTAGTTCGTACTACGTCTTATGTATTTAAACATTATTACTTTCTTGTAGTATGATTTGTGCTCTATAATGTTGCTAAACATTTTAATGATTTATGAAGATTGAGACAGACAGTGTTGTGAAAGGTTCATTAATTAATACAGAAACATACAAAAGTTTGTGGTGAAGAACAGCCAAATGGAATTTTAGCCTTGTTTAAACTTTCAAGCAATCAAATTTATCCCTTTTATTTGCCATAAATACTCAGGAATACTGATACTTTAGCTTAAGTCATACTGATTCCTCCACTAAGTTTTTAGAACAAAGACGTAGCTTGCTCATAATACCAAAACACTGTAGTTTTGAATTATGTGCTTATGTTCAAATTGATTTGTTGTTTCAGTCATTTTGTTCTTTTTATGTCTTCCAATAAAAATATCAGATTATTATTTTTTTATGATTTATTTTCATTGTAAATTTTACTGTATTAAATATACAGATAAATAGCTTGCCTTGGTTTATTGCTCTAATTTTGAGGCCTTTGTTCTTCATAATCAGAGAATGAATCATTTAGCACCTAATAATAAACTATATCTCTACAACTCATAGAGAGTCTTGGTTTCAGTACTTTGTAAGGAATTCCATTTCTGAGTCAACGGTTATGCAAAGAGGTGATTTGACCAAGATCATGTCCGACCTCCAGGTTTTTCCTCTTAATTAATCATTAAAGTAAGTGTACCCTGTTATGAGGCTGGGTATGCTCCAAGAGGATCTCCTGATCTTAGGGTCAATCTACAGCTGTTGTAACAGAATAAATAATTATGTGCCACAGTTGGTCTCAAACCCGGTTGGTCTCAAACTGAAAACTGAACTACCTCCTACCTACGAACTAAATTTTCACTATCAAAATCTTTTTTTTTCAATTGATATAAAAAAGAAATGTTATATTATTAAATAGGTCCTATTTTTTATATTTCTGATACATCAATGATTAATGCATTACTGTTTTATTTTAGTAAAAATCGTATTTATTTTAAAATTTACATTAATTATACAATTTGTTACAATTCATTATATATGACCTCTTCCCATAGCAACAAGATTCTTATTCACTACTGTTAAGTATGATGAACTGATGTAAAGTTGTTTGGTTGGTTGTTTAGTAAAGGCGTAGGACCTGTTGTTCATCAACGCCGTTAATTAAAATTATATATTATTATATCTTTTGGTTATAAATATTAAGAATTGAATAAAATTAAAAAAAAAATGTAAAATGCACGTTAAGGTTAAAAGTTGTTTATTGTTATTAAAGTTTAGTTATTTAAAGTTTGCAATTGGGTAAAAAAAAAGGAAAAACATATGATTTTGCCTAGGATTTTTTCATCATTTCCCAAAGCAGCCAGTATATTTGCTGGTATTACCCTTATGTTTAATTGTCTAATGTAAAAGGCACAACTCTCGAAGATATGGACAACTGTCATTCTCTCTCCACAAGAGAGAGATTTGATGTAAAGTAAGAGCATATAAAAGGTCAGAAGCGTACAAAAATGGGCTGTTTATTAGTTTATCATTGGGAAAGTATTGAATAAATAAATTCAATTGAAATTTAAGAAATTTCTCTCTTACTGCCAAAAAATCTATGGAATTATTATCTGATTACCAAAAAAAGTTATTGTTTTGAATTATTGGAGGATTAAAAAAAACAAGCAATGAATTCACAATCTAATCTATTATCAGTCAGTATTTTGATAAAAAGTACTCATTATTATATTATATTTTATAGTGCAGAAAATGTTAATGCTTAAAAATAAAAATACTTTTTAATGCTATTTTCATAATTTTAGGGAAGTTTAAGTTTGATAAAATTGGTTCAGCATACAGTGAAGACGTTCCAATATTTGCTTTGCGAAGTGTTTCTGCTCTTTGTGGAAGCCTTATCATCCCTTCAGCTTATTATTTGATGCTTGAGCTGGGTTGTTCTCAATGCACTGCTGCTTTAGCTGCTTTCCTTCTACTTTGTGGTACCTATATAAAATAATTTTAAATTGTATATTTACTATTTTTATACTTTCTCTTATTTAAAATTTGGGATTTAATATATCATCAGTTTATAGAAAACAGTTATTATGTAACATTTGAGAAAATTAAACCAGTATGTAATTTGTTGAATTTTTTACCTGAAATATTGTGTATTTAATGCAAAACATTTTGCATTTAATGTTTGTGTCAGGGATGTCTAGAAGGGGATTTCATGGCACAAGTTGCGCCATCAAAAGTTTTGATGAGGGCACATTTTAATGGGGTTTTGAATTTTTGAGAAGGACAAATTTTGACGGTGTTATGAATTTTGGGGTAAAAAGTTTCAAACCAGACGGACAGAACAAGTCCATGAGGGAACAGACCACAGCAAATGAAGATGTATATGATCTACGATTTTTCTAATTCTACTTTTGCTTGGGTTGTTTTTAATAAAATTTAATGGAAGGGGGGAGGGAAGAGTTCATGCGCTATTGACCTTAGCGAGGATGTAAACTATTTTTTATATGCGGTAGGGCTATTGTTATTTTGATGCACTTAATAAGTTTTCATTGATAATTACCAAATTCACTAGTGTGGATTAGCCTTATTGAAAGTTTACTTACTGATTTTTTTTTTTACAATAAACCAGTGGAGACATTCAAAATAAAAAAAATTCTGATTCACATCAGATCTGAGACTAGGACATATCTTTTTTGAAATTAAATCTATGTGGAAATAATATAAATTTGTTAATCTATCTTATAGTATTTTGCTAAAACATAGAAATAGAAACATAAGATCAATTTTAAATTGATAAATGATTTGTATAACTTTATTTATTATTTAGCAAAAAAACAAAAACTACGTTTAGTAAAGAAAAACTAAATTGAAACAACGTCAATAGTTAAGAGAAATTGCACTTTGGAATTAATTGTGCATATAGCTATTAGTAATTAGTGAAGTATTTATTAATCTTCTCTTAAATATTTAGTGCCTGTATTTATATTTATATTATTGTTAAGAAATATTTGATGGACCCACAGGTGCCTTATTATGAAAACAGACTTATTTTTATTTTTTTTCAGATAATGCATTATTGACCCAATCAAGATTTATATTGTTGGAACCTATACTAATTTTTTTTATGCTTACTGGTCTTACATTTCTTTTAAAATTCCTCAAAGTACATAATGCTATTAAATCTACTCAATGGTGGTTATCGATCGCTACATCTTTTGCACTTTTAACATCTGCCTTATGGTAAGTTCATAATATCTATATATACGTCTTATCTTATTTAAAAAATTCAATTACATTGATTGTTTTATTTCTAGTGTGAAGTATGTTGGAGTTTTCACATTTATGCTTGGTATTTGTTTAATCTGCTATGAATATTGGGAAATGCTACCTGATAAATCTATGTCTGATAAAGCTTTGGTAATACATGCGCTGTCTAGGTCTGCTGTTGTATTGGCTATATCTCTCTGTGTATATTTATCAGTATTTTATGTTCATTTGTTTATCCTCACTAAAGCAGGACCTCATGATTCAGTTATGACAAGCGCTTTTCAAGCCAGCTTAGAGGTTAATAATTTTTCACTTTAACAATTCAATATGTTTTATTAACTCTTTTTATATAAGTGGTGGTAGAAGGTATTGTTAAATGGTCGGCAATGAAATTTATATGAATTTGAACATTATTTAATTTATCAGTAGTGTTAAAATTGAACTGTGGTGTAAAGGTACTATTTTGCTGGTACTGCCCACAGCAGCGACTGCAGGCGGTTGAGCACTGCTTTAGTAGAATAGAAAGGAACATATTTCATAAATAAATTTGTATTCTTTAATTAAAATACTGATTTACTGATTATCTATTGATAAAACAGTAAAATATTGCCTATTGTGATTTCATTACAAATATATGATATTTATTACTACTCAATTATGTAATAATTACTGTTACTTATCGAGTTAATAACTAGTAATAAATTTAAAATTGGAGGTAAATCCTCAGTTCTTAAAATAATACTTTATCATCTTATTAATACCATGAATACGTATATTTTATATTCAAAATATTATAAGAAACAATCATTTTGTTGAAGGTAGGAATTAATATGTGGATAATTATTAACATTTTATAGTACAGACATAACCTAACCTTGTTATTAAACTTAACTACTAGAAAAAATGGTATTTATTAATTAAATAAGATCGAAATTCTGCCCTCAAATCTATTGCTATTCTTCCGATACAAATAAAAACCATTAAATTTAAGGCTAACATTTTTATTTAAAATTATATCAAACTAGGATGCTAAATTAATAAGATTTGGCCGTGACGGTGAGCAGTTTCAATAGCGAAACAGACAAGCATGAAATGGTTGGCAGCGTGAAATAGCGGTCGCTGCCGTGAGCAGTACCAGCGAAATAGTATCTTGACTATTTACATTTTGATCCACTTGTAGTTTTGCTGAAACAATGAGAGGAGTTGGAGCCTACTCATATCCTCGTTTCAACCCCTATGATAACCTACACTGAGGATCAATGTTGGTTTTCAACAAATATTTGCCACTATTTAATTTTAATAGTTATTTTTTTATTGACCCTTGGATCATCTCCTTCTTGGTTTACCATGTGGTCAACTTACAACATTTAATGTGTCATTATTTGTATTTAAACTAATCATAAAGGAGATATTTTAACTCTAGTATAATCTGAATTACAAATTTATAATAAAATTAACATTACCTTGTAGCAACACTAATTTATGATTGTGTGACTCTCTTTTATGAGAGTTTAGCTGATGTTTTGTAATTATAATTTTAATTTCAATCCAATGAAAGAGCATGAATTCATTAATTTTTCTCAGCCTGAATAATGAAAATTATTAATGGTTTTGTTGTATTGTTTTAGTGTGTTATAGAATGAACATTTACTAATTTTGTTACTTGCATCTTGTTACTTATTGTTCATTTAATTACTCATTGTCTAAAATAGATTATTTTATTAATGCTTGTTTATTACTCTCATTTCTGTTGATTTTTCTTTCATTGCTGCTTTTTCTGTATTCCTGATGTAATCTATAAACTGATGACTGATTGGTTGTACATTTAACTAACACGATGCTTATTGTTTTGTTGTGCATATGTGTTAATTGTTACTAATATTGGAATTCCTTCATGTCATTAATTATAATTAACTAAAATAATTGTTCAGTGGTGTGGAAGTTAGTGATGCTGTTCTCATGTTACTTAAGTAATTGTTCACATTAATTTACTTTTAATTTTAAGCTAGATCAAAAATCTCATTACATAACGTAAATTCCATATTTGTATAAAGGAGGTCATTCCTTTTTAAATGTCCGATTTGTATGACGCAAGTGACTATTACTACAAAATTCAAAATAAAATTTTTTCATGTGGATGAATCGGTAGCTTATATCCACTATTTGAAGGTCTTTATGGTGTGGGGCTAGTTTTCTTACATTTATATTTTTTTCAATATTTCTTATTGATATTAGTATTATATAGATTTTAAAAAATAAATTTTGGAATTCATAAACTAATTTTAATGTTATTTTGTTAAATCATAATGACTTGGGTAGCTAACAATGTTCCATAATTAGCTTTCCGTTTTTATCAAAAGCCTTGCTCATAACGCAGTTTCGGTCGAGGAGTTATAATTTTTTGTATCGAGCCATTTAACAATCTCTTCTTAATTTCCATCAGCAGGATTCTGTCCCCAGTATCTGAAGATTTCTTGTTTTAACTGTTAATTGTTATATTTCCTCAGATAATATAACATTTAATCACATTCCACTCAGAAAGGGTTAGTTAAAGTTCGTGAACTTCATTTTGAAAAATGAAATTTTTATTTCAAAGCTCACAAGTTTTATCTATTCATAAAAATAAACAACAAATTTAACTTTTTATTTAATTTTAGGAATTATAATTCAGTAGGAAGAACACATAATAAAATCACTTCATTTCAATATTGATTATAATTTCCTGCGGTTATATTATGGTATTTAAATAACATTTTATGAACTAGCGTAATTTAATAACTAAAAATTAGTGTATTGAATATTATAATAGAAAAGAAGAAAGGTGAAAGTAAACTAAAACTGTTTTAAGATAATGTATAAGGCTGATAATAGATAAAAAATCTTTTTATTTACAACCAATCAACTATTTTGTTTATATTTTGGTAGAAATACCATAATATTTGATTAGACATTCATAGGTCACAGCAAGTTGGAAACCATTACATTAAGCCAAGCAATCTAAATTTTATATTAGTGTTCTTTGATAAAATACTTCCTAGATCTTGGACTAACAATACTGTAAAACATTATTACATTCAAAACCCATTTATATTAGATATTAAATGTGGAACTACTTTATTAGATATTTATTATATCTATGCATACATGTTTTATGCCTGTGATGTTTTCTAATTAGGGAGGGCTGGCATCAATAACTAAAGGACAGCCATTAGAGGTGGCTCACGGTTCACAGGTGACATTAAGGCACACCCATGGGAAAACATGTTGGCTTCATTCTCATTCAGAGGTTTATCCAGTTCGCTACCCTGACAAGCGTGGAAGTTCACATCAACAGCAAGTTACTTGTTATACATTCAAAGTAAAAATGTCTTAATTTCTAGTGTTACTATTTTACTACTTAAATATAAATATATTTGAAATGTATCTTGTGTTTTTTATGCATACAATTTTTATTAAAATTCTTATTAAAGAAAAATTAAGATACTGTATTTTATTGTGGGACTTATTTGTTTTAGTTCTTTTTTATTTGCTTTCTTCTTGCTCATTAAGCCTATGCCAAGTTCTGTAATTTCACCTTCTCAATTGTGGTTATTTGTTCTTATTGTTTCATTACATCTTCTATTTCATATATGAAAACTAGGACTCACCTTCGTATATTGTAACTTCATTTTGATGACCAGTTATATATTTATCAAGTGACCATCAGTTGATTATGGGGGATGATAATGTTTCTATTATTGACATTTATCCGTTTTACAGGAAAACAAAAATGAAAAATGTTTACATAAATGGATTATATTATTAAACATTTTTCAGCAACAAGGATTACCCATAACAGAATTTTACTGAAACTTTTTTATATAATAGAGAGAAAAAATATATTCTTGGTTCCTAAGGCTCTTTGATGTTTGATTTTTTAATAAATGCCAGAATACCTAACCAATATTCTTAAGTGTAGACTCACCAAAAAAAAAAAAAAAAATTGGTAGAAAGCGACAGTCATTTATAATCCAAATTTAATACTGTTGAGACCATGAGGATTTTCTTTCAAGCTCCATTGTTTGTGAATTTTAAAATTAACTATTAGATTTAATTTAATGTTGTCTAATGAAGTTGCTACATTTGTGATAAAATAATTTGTTTATAATTTCATTAATAGTTTGTATACATTTTATTTAGATTTCTCCTGTGTGTAATTTATAATAACTAAGTATTATTTCAAATTCCATGTCCCATATTTTTCTGGTATTATTTAAATTGTATGTACTTGCATTGCAGTTATTTTTGTATCTGTATTAAAATAAATTTTTGTCAGGATTTAAACAACTGGTGGATCATCCGAAGACCTGATGTAAAAAATTTGGTTGTATCAAATCCTCCTGATGCAATAAAACATGGAGACGTAATTCACTTTGTTCATGGTATAACAGGACGCCCTCTTAATTCTCATGATGTATCAGCACCAATGTCGCCTCATAATCAGGTAATATTAAATATTGTATTTATTTGTATCCATTACTTTTTGTTAATATTAGTTATTTCCCTATTAGGCCAAGGTGGTAGAAATGGAGGTGGTTGTGAAGTGGAGTTGAGATGAGCGGAGCAGTGCAGTGCAGTTGACATGGGGCGGCAATAGAATCAGCTAAGCAAAGCCTAACTCTTGGATATGATAATGAAAAAAGTACGAAACCCACTTGTTCCCCAGTTAATTAAGTAATTAAATGAAAATAGGAAATGCTTGTTTAATACAAAAACTAAATGCCAATATTTGAATAATAATCATTTCAATTGCAAGTGTAATGTAAAAATGATTAATTATTTTTGCGATTGTTTTTGAGCAGAAAAGTTTTAATTTAAAAAAAAAATATTATATGAATGATGATTTTAAACTTTAATCTACATAACGAAACTTTAACCAGTTGACTAAACTTTAATTAATTCACTAGCATTACATATGGATTACTTCATGGCAATAGGAAATTTTGAGTCTGGAGGGGAAAGTTTAGAGAAAGTGAAACTGAAACTGAATCAGCTTTGAAAATGTATTTGAATAGATCAGATCTACCGCGTACTAACCTTTGCATAATCAAATCAACTCCGCTCAGCTCCACTCAGTCACCACTGGTAATTTAATATATTATATAAATATTATATTATACATACTTAATACATGAAGTTGAAGAGTTTGTCTGAACAATCTAATTTCAGGATCTATTAGTCCTGAAAGTTTGAATATTTTGTTTACTAAATGTTGCCTTCAGTTTTTATAACATCACACTATGTCCCATAAATAGTATGCATAAAAGTTTGGAAAACTGTAGGATATTAAATGATATTAGCATAGCTTTCTGTAAAATTGTTATTTTTAAGGGACCTAGTCCCAGAATAAAGATGTTGCTGTCATAGTAAATAAATGTCTGTAAATAAATGTCATAGTAAATAAATAAATGTCTGTTTGCTGTCATAGTAAATAAATCACTTAAAAAAACTTTTAAGCATAGTAGAGCACAGCATTATTGTAATCAAATCTATTTTTAAATTAGGATTATAAGATATAAGTTTGTTTGGATTTGGAGTCGATTTAAGAGAAGACTTTTTTTTCCAAAAGACAATTATGTTTTGCCTAATCTAGACCAGGTTATAGAGAAAACTGCTTATACTTATACCATAGAGAGAAATAATTGAATGCTATTTCAGGCTGAAGTCCTCCTCACTCCTCCCCACCCCCAAAAATAAATAATCAATCAATCATAATATGTTCTCTTTTTTAAAATTATAACGTTTATACAAATACTAAATATAAGTACATGTCAAGAAAAAAAATATGAAAAATTTACTTAAACATTTTTGTCTTTTAAGAGCCCTCTTCTTTGATCTTCCCTCAAATGGTTAGTTCAGTCAAATATTTGTATTCTTCTATAATAATATCAAATAGAAAGGCTAATTGTTAATGATATTTTTAATCATTATTAGTGATACATAATTATTTCTAAACAATTAGCTTAAGATATTTACATAAACGGACAGGTATCTATGCTGAAGTGATTAGTGATAAGATTACCTCGTACTTTATTCCATAGTTAACTTGTTACAGATGAAAATTCTGTTATCAACTAATGAGAACTTCATTACTTTTTCATGTCTATCTGCATGCCTCAATGATTCCCTTGTATTGATCAAGAACTTTTCTCAGTAAGTCAGGAATTGCGTTTTTGCAGAATTTAGATTTTCCAATTAATTTCAGAATGTTTACTGTACTTTGTTTTTGAGTCCACATTTATAACTTATACCAATAATAATATTTTAACAATATTATGTCTCCTTTAGGAAGTAAGCTGTTATATTGACTACAATATATCAATGCCACCTCTAACATTGTGGAAAGTAGACATTGTCAATAGAGATCAAGAGGGTGATATTTGGCACACTATACAATCGCAGGTAATGTTCATAAGTATAGCAGACTTAGAATTATAAATTATTTAATGAATACGTAGTAAAGTAAGTTATAAATTCAAATGTATAAATTTTATTTTATCACATTAATTATTTACAATTTGTACCTTATTGCTAATTCACTACCGAAGGCAGGAAAGCATTGTGTTTGTGCGAGAGGTTAAAAAGGTTTTATGCTCTTAGATTAATACTATATTTTTATGAGGTTATAAAATTTAATAAGGTTTATTAAAAAAATTTATTTATACTGTATTGTTTGGTCGCTTCCAAATGTTATTAGCATGATGCTTTCTGTCTTTATTTATATTTTGTGTATCACTAGAGCCATAAATTATAAATTATAATGTTTTCTTTTTTCATTTAGGTCCGTCTGATCCACTTGAATTCAAGCCAAGCATTAAAATTCAGTGGTAGGCAATTACCAGATTGGGGATTTCACCAATTAGAGGTTGTTACTGATAAAACAATTGTGCAAGATGACACTGTCTGGAATGTTGAAGAACATAGATATACTAAAAGTGAGTTCTGTTTGGTTATTGTGTTTTATTTTATTTAAGGGAGAACCAAAAGTGAAAAGATGGACTTATTAATATTTTTAAATATAAATGTTAGTATTAGATTATTTATTTGTTTTGTTCTTTATTCTTTCCTCTGAAATAAACAGGTAAGGAATTAAAAGAATAAAATTAATATTATCTTGAGATCCTTCAGGGTTACGTATATCTTGTTCTCTAGCCAAGTTGAACTTATCCAGAGTTTTTTTTCATTAAGGTCAATATTATTGAAGCAATATAATTAAGAGTAATATGTTGAAGGGACCCATCACACATATCAATAAAATTGTGTCAGTGTTATATCAGTTACTATCTCACTTTCTACGAAGACATACTCTGTCTCTTTTTTTGTTTATGTGATCTACAAAGTTCATTTTGTTTCTTAAATAGCAATAAAGGCTTAGTGAATCCAAAGGTTCAATGCCAACGTCACCAATCATGGTTTACTTACTTCCATCCAGTGACGGCTGTCCAAACACAATCCCGAAAAATCAGCCTTAATGAAATCATCCCATCTTCACTTCTGTTTATCCGTCAGATGCTTAGCTGTTGGCATAGTACATATTAACCTTTTAGAGATTTGATCTCCATCCCCATAATTATACACATCCCTTTTGTTAACTGCAAAGTTCTCAGTTACATTCATCGGGTACAGTCCTCCTAAATTGGATTTGTGTAGCCATCCAAATTTTCCTTCTAACTCCTTTGGTTCAAATATTTTGTGCTTTACTTATTTTTAAATAACCTAAGGCATTGTCCATCCTTTTATGTAAGCAGCCACATTTCACATCCTTTGACAATTCCTCATATCATTAAAAAGTTCATTCACTCATAGTAATCATCATAAACGTTTTCCTCATGGATCACCAGCTTGTTCAGCTAGTTTCTATGGTTGTCAGTAGAGTGCGTAACTGTGACACTCGAGCTGAGCACATTGTCATTAAAAAGGCATTGAAGTGTGCTCTCAATTTTCTTGGTCACTTCTTTCCCATTATGCCTCATTATTAACTGCCATATTGGAAGTATCGTAAGTTAAGAATAAACTGAATTTTTCCTAAAGCTTCCTTTTGATTTCAAAGGTTAAACATTTACTTTTAATTGATTACCTAGTGCTTTAGTAACATTGGTAGAACCCAAAAATAAAAAAGTAAATTTGAAAATCTTTCCCAAGATTTGATAGTAGGTCTTTTGTTTTTAACTATGTTGATGAAGAAAAACCAGTGTTTGTTTAATTAAGAGTTTCTGAAGGTTTGTATATCTTATATCCTTTTCTTCATGTATTATGTTTATTAAGTCTGGTTTTCACTTCACTAGTCTTAAGTAGTCATGACTAACTTAATTATTAATAATTTGCCCATCGAACGTGCATTGTTTTTTATTTAATTAAGTCAATAAGTCTTAGTTTCAATAAATATTCTTTTTCAGTTGAAGATGAAAAGGAAAGAGAAAAAGACTTGATGAATGCTGAGATGATACCTATGAAAACAACTAAGTTATCATTTTGGACTAAGTTCAGTGAACTTCAGTATAAAATGATGTTTCCTTCTCAGGATAGTCTTCAGAACCATATGTATTCTAGCGAACCTTTAGAATGGCCTCTTATGACTCGGGGAATCGCTTATTGGGTGAGCCCCTATCATAACGTAAGTATATTTTGAGTTATTATTAAATTATTAAAGAATTGTAATAGAATCATTAAAAAAAAATTCTTCTTAGTTCTAAGCATCTTTTTTTTTATAATGTCTATAACCGAGGTATGCCTAAATAAGACCACATTTTATTGTAATGCAGAAATTTCATAATATTTGGAAAGACTGAGTATTGGTCAAGGCCACTGAAGTGTGAGAGCACTACAACAGTTATTGAGAATTCTTTTGAAGAATAGGCCAACTGCAGGTGTTCGTCATTTTAAATAAATCCTGAAAGCCAATCGATAGCTATGTCAGCAGCAATTTTTATTTTGCATTAGATTGGTCCAATGCTTTGAAACTAAACATCAACTACGTACCTTTGCTTTTGGAGTCCCAGGAGCCCGTGGACAGTTAAAGAAAGTTGGGTTCCTCATTCCTAAAGGTCGGCAGATAGTCTGAAATACCAGACCATGTGATGAGAAAATGCTCCAACTCCCTCTTCATAACACACCGGCACCATAGAGTCAAATCCCAGTTAATGACTTAGAGAAAAGGAATTCACCTCCTTTGATGAGGTTTATTGCATCAACAATGGTGGATCTACCAGATATGTGAATAGTTTTGCATTCCCCAAGGGCATCACTTCAACTTCCAGCTTTTTTGTTTTTAGAGTAATTACCTCCATCAGGAGTGTGAATTGGAAAAAGGAAAGAAGAATATATATGTTAAATGTATCCATTTCTTAAAAGAGATATGCTGTGATACCTTCAGAGAGAGGGAGAGTTCACCGTGAGAGGCTTCTGGTGTGGGCCTCCTGAAATGATTCCAAAAAGAACAAGGAGGTTCCTTGAGCACTAGGTGTAGATGTTGGGGTGGGGGCGGGGTGGCCGAATAGGTTAAAGCGTGTGCACAACACCGCGAGTTGCCTGGCAACCGGAGAACAAGATTTGAGATGATTTAAAAAAGTACGAGTTCGCGTCCCGGTGCCGGAGGGGATTTTAAATTCCCCGCCCTCATCCTCCGGCCCGGGAAAATCCCGTATAGCCTATAAGGCGAGGTAGGGAAGAACAAAAAAAAAAAAAAAAAAAAAAAAAAAAGATGTTGGGGAGCTCCTTGTCATTGAGAACATTATTCTGGATTCCCTCCCTACGTATCATTCATTATTATCTATTGGTTATATAAGTTTAAATAAATCTAGCTTAACGTAGTTTTGTTGTAAGATTAGTGATATGAAAAAAGAGAAAGGAAAAAAATGGAACGATATAGTAGTAAAATACTACATGTTTTAGTGTTATGTCCAGAAGGAATTGATAAGTATGCTGTATATCAGGCAAACCTATTTAGTTGGATAGCATTACTTTAGGTTAAGTATTTCTCTCTTCAGAACTAGAACCTTCATTTAAAAGGTCTTTCAAAGCAATTCATTTTGTTAAAAATAAAAACCTGGTGTGCGCAACACACAACTTTCACTTACCGCTCAACTTTGAACCGAAATTATTTTTTGGCCATGTTGGGCTATTATAAAATTTTTGAATTTTATTTTTAACCGAGCTAAAGCTAAAAGCTACAGCTAACAAATCATAATTGCCATTAAAATAACAAAAATCCTGTCACGTCTAAGGCATATATCTATCTTAAATACGTAATATCAGTTTCGTACGACTTTTCGTTTTTGAGCTAGATTGTTAACATACACACACACATACAGACCATTTTGTGGGACTTGGTTATTTGGAGTCAGGAGACCTCAAAACATCTATTTCTTCTTTTTTCTTTTTTTCCTGGGAAGTTGTCAATTTATTTAGTTCCTTGGCAATAATAACTTCCAATTATTAACAATACGAGTATATTTTTAACGTTACATGTTAACAGTCTATTTCTGTTGAAAACTGAAGAGTCGAAAATTTTCACAATCGCAATACTGTCCCTTGCTATATATTTCATATATAGGTAAGTGAAAGTAAATTTTTTAATCTTGATTTTTGATCAATACCTGTCCTGAAATAAATCTATTTTCCAAATTATCCGAAACTCTATTGCTATTCTCAAACAGTCTCTGAGATTCCACGATTCTATGCTCCTTCTGTATTATAAAGTACAGTGTACTGATAACCATTTGAAGTTATGTTCTATTCATGTTATGCAATTTTAGTTTTGGAGATGGGTAATTAGTCAACCGATCAATTATAAGGATGAAAAAAATTGTTAGGAATTTCAGTCGATATTTTTATTGAATTAGCTGACGTTTCGACCCAAACATGTTGTTTATCCTCAGGCTCAGTTCTTATATATACATTCTCAGAAGAGGGTACATATTGTGATGAAGAAACCTGCGGCAAAGAAGGAAGAGCAGAGTGCTGTGAAGAAACTGTTATGTGTTGAGAAGTATCAGGAAAGTCAGCTAACCCAATAAAAATATCGACTGAAATTTCTAACAAATTTTTTTCATCCTCCTAATTTTAGTTTTAGTTCTGTTTGTTAATTATCAGTTTACTATTGACATTAATCTTTTTACAGGGCCAAGTTCATTTATTGGGAAATATTGTCATATGGTATTCAGGAACCCTCAGCCTTCTTATATATTCCTCATTGCTGATATTCTATTTGTTAAGACGGACAAGATTATGTTTCGATATTACTGAAGGTATGTAACATTGTCATCTTTGAACCTTTGAGCTTTATTTAAAACATGAATTAGAAAAAGTTTTACTGTCAACCGAATTTCTGTTATTTAATAATTTAAAAAATAATTTAATTAATATATTAATAATTTTTTAGTTTTTAGTAAATATTTCATGTTGATTATAGGTTTTTCCATCTTGAACTTACACTGACAAATTATTTAAGCTGAAAGTCATGATGCAAAAAGACATGATTTATACAAAAAAAAGTTGAAATTTTGGTTTATTATTTTCAATAATGAACCATTGTGATCGACCAAAAAATTCAAAAACTTAATCCCCTCTCATACAAAATTTTTTTGTCCATCCGCGCATTTTCTCTGAATCTACTGGACCTATTTTTTTCAAATTTGGAAATAAAATCAGAGCTCACCTGAGGATGATCCTCCTTCATCGACATTGCTATCCGCCTTTTACTTTCAAAATGGTGGCCGAAAAACATGCGTTGCAATAGACTGTAGTGCCTAAACGAATTTACCGATTTCAATGAAACTTCGCTTAAGTCATTTTCTCGACGCCCTTTAAATTTATCTATATAACATACTTCAACGAAAAGAAGCTGGAAAAAAAGTTACGAGGGATGGTAAAATTAAATTTCGTATAACTCATAAAGTTTACACTTTTTTGTAGATATTGTAAATGGTTTTTTAAAAGTTATGGAATTTAAAAGTTTATGGAATTTCCAAGAAAAAAAAAATTCGTTAAAATCAGACAATTAGCAGCAAAGATATGTTCTCTAGTTTTTTTTATATGTTCTATTGCAAATATTATATCCTTTGTTTTGGTTTTTAAATTTTGAATGTGTTACTGAAGGAATACTATTTTTTTTTAGCATATTACTAATGATTAAAAAAAAAAATTTAGTCCAATAATTAGAATCACCTTTTATTTATTTTTCTTTGTAACTAGGAAGGTAATGGTACTTTAAATGTATAATTGTTTAAAAATAATAAACCATTGTGAAATAATTTGCAGCCTTTTTTTTTTTTTTTTTTATAACTTCAAGAAACTTTTTACTTTTTTTAAAGTCTGTGGGAAGTCAACTGAAACATATCTCTCAAAAATTATTCATTTCACCTAAAGATAACAAAATAAAAAATTGCTGGTCGTTTCAATAGATGTGATAATATATGGATTAATTGCCTATAAACATGGATGTGGTAAAGTTTGTTAAGCTTGGGTGACTTTTTTGAGAAGGGGATGTTGCAAGAATGAACAACTGAGATGCACAAAATGTATTACAGAGGTCCTACATCGGTCCCCCAGAGTTGGAAGACCAAATGCAAGATGGATCTATTAGTGTGAAGTCCTAGTAAATACTAAACCTTGCTTGACATCTGAAATTGGATAGCTTCAGCACATATTAGCAGAGGCTGCTGAAGGAGGCCTAGATTCAATAAAGATTAATCTTTCACTTTCATTAACCTCTAGGTTCCTGGTGGATATTAATGAACAAAAATGTTACTATGGTATCATTTAAAACAGTTTAGTAATTGGAATAAAGTGAGAGATTCTTAGAAGCTAAGAATGAAGATGATTATGAAAATTTTTATAAAAATTAACTTACACTGCGGCTATTAAAAAGTTGGTCTGTAGTTTTCATCAAATTTTGGTTATCACCAAGGTCAGTTTTTATTCTAGATGTCAATAGAATTTTTTTAAATAATTATGACTCCATTGAAGAGAATCCATCAAATTTTCCTCCCATATCTGATATAAAGCAAAGTTGAAATAAACTTTTTTTCCCAATAAAATAATCAATAATTGCTTGACCTTTAACACTATTAATATTCTGTTTTGAGGTATAATGTCAGAGAATACCAAAATATCGAAATATAGCTTTTCATCAATCTTTCTAGAGGATGATGTATAATTTCACTAAGCTTTTTCAGAAATTTTATTTTTATTTTGATTTAAAAAATTATTATTATTAATATTATTTAATGATAATAATTATTAAATATCATTTATATAAAAGGGATCAAAGTAGGATGCTTTGAAAGAAGACAAATCTTGAAAATTGTTCAGTGTCTATTAGTTAAGATGCTCTCAATAATAAATAATAATTGGTGTTTTCACTCATTGAAGTTATTAAAATTAATTTATTTTCTTTATTTTTAGCTCAATGGATACACTTTCTGAGAGTTGGACATTTATTATTTTCTGGTTATTTGTTGCATTTCATTCCATACTTCTTTGTTGAAAGAACATTATTCTTACACCACTACTTACCAGCTTTTGTTTTTAAAGTCCTTCTCACAGCTGCAATAGTTGAACATATCTATTCTCTACTAAGGTATGATGTAAAGCTTTATAAGTATAATTATTTTATGGTTAGCAAAAACCAATTTTAATATTTAAGAATATATAGAGAAGGGTAAATATTCGACTAATCAATTATGAGGATGAAACAAAATTGTCAGGGACTTCAGTCACAATAATATTTACTGGATTAACTGACATTTCCACCCAAAATTTGGGTCATCATCAGGGCTAAAAATTACAAAATAAAAAAAATCAGTAAAATAATAAATATAAAAGAGTAAGGGTAATAAAAGTGCAGAATAACGGTAATAAGATAATAGTAATAAGTAAGTAAGATAGTATGAGATAGTAATATTAGATAGTATAGTCCGTGGTACAGAACCCCTTTTTATCGAATTACTAACATCCGCCTGAAACTTTGTAAATAGCTTCATCTCATCGTAACCTACAACTATTTTATTTATGAAAACTGTTGGAATTGTGGCGTTTTCAATCTGGAGGAGGGCAAACTTTGTCTATTTAATTAGGTTCTAAAAACTCGTAAATACCCATTTGCTTTCTACTTGGATCGTAAGATAATTTGATCACAAAATTGATTAAAAAAGTGGCCTTCAAAAATATTGAGCCATTTGGCGTGATCTACACTCCCAAATTTTCAATATAACAAGGTCATATAGAAAAAACGGCTCAATATTTTTGTATGCCACCTTTTTTATCAATTCGTGATCAAATTATGTTACGATCCAAGTAGAAAGAAAATGGATATTTACGAGTTTTTATTAGCTAATTAAATAGACAAAGTTTGCCCCTCTCCATATTGAAGACGCCCCAATCCCAAGAGTTTTCTTAATAAAATAGTTGTAGGTTACGATGAGATGAAACTTTACTAAGTTTCAGGCAGATATTAATAATTCGATAAAAAGAGGTCTGTACCACGGAGGAGTAATAAGAGTTAAGAATAGAATGATAAAAGTAAAAGTATACAATAATACATACAAAGTATACAAAACTCGTAAACATTGAAACATAATAATAATAAGGAAATGATTTTTTGATATAAATAAATGAAAAGTATATCAAAAGTAGGAATTAAAAAAACAAATTATTAGAGTTATCATGTTTCTTATCAACTTAAAAGCAAAGTGCAGCCTTTATTATTGAGCTGGTTACAATTATCCACAGGCTAGAAGACATGACACTAGACAAGAATGTGATTAACCTCTATAGGAAATTCAGTCCTTGGCCAAGTTAAAACTTTAGAGGAAATAGCCTTGTCTGACGATTGATTACAGCAGAAATGATAAGGTTACGCAACCTGCTTAGTTATAGCCTTATAACATTAATATCAATTAAAGCTATTTATTTATTCTCTATTTTCGCCACGAAAATTTATTAATGTAAGAAAAGTTGGTTGATGTGCGTGCTCAATAATGGAATAATACACAAATAAGAACAATTTTCTTATTTGTGTGTTATTTCATCAATAAATGCAGCTCCTTTTTCTTATTAATTTCTACTGTTTATTAAGCATAAAATAAAAATCTAGTTTCAATTTTAACTGGACTTATTTTTTAAGAATCTATATTTGTTTACTGCCTATTGATTGTTCTTATATAGGACAAATTCCAGTTTTAATTATTTTTAAAAAAGTCATGAAAGGATTAAAAATGTATTCTATAAACTAAACTTTTATTTTTTTTTGTCCAATCCTTCCTCTTTTCCTTGTTCCAGTTTAGCCCTTCCTTTTAGGCTATACGGGGATATTCCTGGGCGAAGGGAGAGGCCAGGGAATTAATGCCAGAGTTAAAAGAGAACTCATAATTATTTTATATCTCAAAAATTTTGGTTTATCCTGTGGTTGGTTGCTGGGCAATGCGAGTTTTGCACACATGTTAGTCTGCACGGCCATCCCGCCTCCTTAAGCTATATTTTTATTTTATTTGATTACTACCTACCCACCATTTCTGGCATATGGGGGATTATTCTAGAGGAACAACCAAAGCTATTCAAACCAGAGTGGGTAGGTCGAGTTCCATTCTGTGTGATAAAATAATAGTCAACTCTTCCCAGGCTGGATTCGAACTGGCATCGCTAGACATGAGAACGTTACAATGGACAATGCCCCAACATTCTCGGCCATCCCCTCTTAACCTTCTTCAGCTATTGTATTTCCTGCTGCTTCACAGACTTACGAGGTAAATTGGTCCAATACCCTTTTTTTGAAATCCACATCTCTAAACTCCACCCCCACAGTTCCAAACTGACTCCTTCTTTATGAATGGGAGATGAAAGGCTACCTTACCATATAATTCCCATGATACTTTATTCCTTAGACTCTGTTTTGTTTAACTGTGTGCGGAAAAGAAAAAAAATATATACTGTATATTAAACACATGTTTCGATTGATTAGGGATTGGTTCCACAATGCCAAATATCTCAAGTATTTTAAAATGTTAGTAATTAATGGATGATTGACCTTTGTCAGCTTCTTTTTGTATTATAAAATATTTCAAAACAATCAATATGAGAAATAGTTAACATTGTTTAAATCTGATTTTAGGTACCGAAAATTTTTAAAGAAATTATATCTGCTCCTCCTCATATTATGGATTTGTAGTATAATTTTAGTATTCAAGAAATTTTCTGTTTTGTGCTATGGAATGACCGAGCTTTCAGCAGAAGATGTGATCAAATTGAGGTGGAGTGAATCATGGGATTTCATCATACACAAGGAATAAATTTCTTTGGATAGCTAAGGTATATAATTTTAGTAACTGGTTTTATAATGGTTTTACTTACAAAATAATTGTTATCCAGGCTGCAGTGGTCTAATGGCCACTGGAGAGATTTTAAGTTTATTTAAAGAATTGGAGTAAGGGAAAGGCTGCGCGAATTCCCGTCCTCCTCACGCTAACTTATTGCAGACAGGCTATATCTGTTAAACTGATGTTTCATCTATTCTTTTATAATAGGATTATAATTTTAAATTTTAATATAGCAATTGTAGTTTTTTATTTGTGTTTAATTTAGGATATTATTGTAATGAATATTTCGTTTTTATGTATTTGAAGAATTGCATACAGAATCAATAAGCAAAATAAAAATATTTTAATTTCTTTTTAACCACCTCTTTTTTTTTTTCAGGTAAGTTGTGGTTCTGCTGTGACTTAAAAGTATTGTTTGCCATACAGCTGATAGACTGATCATTTATTTATCCTTAAATCCATGTCTTTTATTTAATACAATAGTATTATATTAAAAAAGTTTAAGTAAGCTACAAGCGTATAAGAATATCTTGTACCATTTATTCTTGAAAAAGAGGGAAACAAATCTATAAATCTCGTGCAAAAAAAATTTCAAAAATTCGACAAACAAACAAAAATTCCATACCATCATAATTAACTGTTTCTGAGTAGATTAAGAAAATAATATCCTTATGCTTATAGTGCATGTTCCTATTCAAAATGTTATTTGTTGATGTATATTCATTAGTTATAAATGATAAAAAAAACTAAATGATAATGTTGGTGCTACTGGTGTTTATTTGCCAATATATTTTATTGAAAACTGATTATTGAATATTATTCAAAATTAGTTCACCTGTTAAAATAGGATGGCTATTTTTTCTAGAGCAAATTAAGATAAAGGTGGTGTAAGTTGAGTGTGAAATAATTTGGATATGGATAATAAGTATTTAGTGTTGTAAAATACCAGATTAAAAATATAACTGAGGGCTACTTGGACCCACTGAATAAAGGTTTTAAATTGAGCTAGGTCTCTTATTATGAAAATATAAGCATAATTTACAATCTCTACAACAGGTACCAGTGCTAGTGACCTAAGGTACTTCACTTGGTTCCCCATCCTTTTTTCAATTACTGTATGATCCAACATATACTACATTTATAGATATGGGGTCTTAATCTGAGGACAAGCTGCCCGAGCACATTGGGACATGGATACTAGATTGCCCAGTCCTGAAGGTTGTGGATTGGATTCCCACCTGGGTCAGTTAATTTAAATTTCTCGGCTGCCCTGGTAAATGAATCTTGACTTTCCCAATCCAGTAAGTACACGACAGTAAACTCAAGGTAGCCGTTAAGGGTTGGCAAAAAGGTTCATGGGCCCACTTGCTGGACTACTTCCCTCCACCATTACCAGTACCAGTAGGGTCTTAAAATCTATGTTTGTGAAAAATACGTAAAAGTAGATAAACAAATTGTTTACTAATCATCCTTTAAAAAATTTATAAATTATTCTGTTGTCATTCCCAGCACATCAAAACAAATGAATTATAAACCTTAGATTCATCGTAGAGTTAGCAATAAGAGCTTCTGTCATTCCCATTCATAACAAACTGATTTTTTTTATAATTTGAAAACTTGCAGTACTTTCATTCCATGTTAAATTTGTTAGTGCTACTAAATTTGCCACAATTTTTCTTAATACTTACAGCATCTTAATCTTCCATTATTTAATTTAAGGCCTCTGTAATTTATATTTTACATTTCTTCTAGTAGATATTAAAGTAAAAATTATTTGAGATTATTATAACTGTATCAATTGTAAATAATATTTATTGTAATTTATTTAATTATTTATTATTTTTACTTTTGTACTTTTATATTTTAAATTATATATATATTGATGTATTTATTAATTAAATTAAATTTATTTTGTTTAACTGAGTTCCTTTAATTTATTAATAGTTACCTAAAATTTAAATAAATAAAAAAAGAAAAAAATGGGGTTAATTTTCTTCATTACGCATACTTTATTTCTCTCCTTGTGGGGTTGCATAGTGTAACTTGCGCCACCCAAATTTTTTATGGGAGCTCATGCTTATGGGGTTTTAAATTTTTGATGAAGCCCATTTTTACAGGGTTATTAATTTCGAAGAGAAGCAATTTGGAGGAATTTTCAAACCAGAAAACAAGAGAAAAACAGATAAATACCCTAGCAAGCTTAATTGTATATGACCAACAATTTTTTAACTTTATTTTCGCTTGCAATGTATTTAAGAAGAGGAGCAATAAAATTTCATGACCCCTTGTTTTGCACCATAAACCTTGGAGGAAGGAATGGGAGCTCCTATCTCCATGTATATTTATGTAATAGTTATAATAAACTCAACTTATTAGTTTGTAGACAAGATGATATTTCACTCCAATTCTGGGATCATTCTGATAGTTCTTCCATATAAATTTAAAATGAGGTAATACTAATATCCAGTATACCCTCTATTACTCTGAATTGTTTTTTTTTTTTTTTCTTAAATCGAAATTGAAAAGCTGATATTGTTAATAATCTTTTCAGTCTGATCATAGGGGGTCATGATTTATCACTATATGCGAACTAATTTGACTAATCATTTAATAGTTCATCCTATATGATTAATTCTGTCTTGAGTAACAAATTTAGCTCTTAAAAGAAGAGATTAAGGAAATTTGATTGGTACTTAGGTACTGGTATTTCTGAAATGAATTAAACTTTTGTATTTATGAAGTAGATTTCATTTTAGAAATCAATGGCAGTCAAATCATATTATAGTCCAGAATAACAGCTGAAGTGAGCCAACTTGAGGTGGCTGAATCTGTATCTGAGATCAAATATCCAGATGATGGTTACTTAAAATGTTTCATACAGAAATATTATTATTATATTAATAGATGTGAGGTGATATCATTGTTCTGGGTTAAATGTCAAGTTTATCAAGGCTCAAATGTTTGTGTATAACGGACACTTGCGGGTTAAAAAAGGGAATGAAACTTTTTTTAAAAATCCATTTTAATGCAACACTTTTGTAAAAAAGTTTTAAAATGAAAGTTTCAAATTTTTTTTGCAATAAAATTATGGGTTTGTTGTAAAATGATTACTTTTTGATATTTAAGTACTTAAAAAAAGTTAAATTAAATGTGAAATTGCAGCATTAATTGGATTTAGCTTACAGATATAATTATCTTGAATGAATTGCCTGATTCTCATTTTAAGAATCAACTGCACCATCACCTTTTAAATATAATGTTCGGTGTAATTGCTTTATCAAACCATTTCAGTAAAAATTCCTATAAAATCTTTAATTGACAGTTTTCATGAGAAAACGTTTTAGTTCTGAAATAACACACAAAAACAATCAAATATAAAAGTTCCTGTCTTACTGGAAGTGATTCAAAATAAAAGTTAACTTTTTGAATACTGGACGGTTGACCGTTGTATATTTTAGAGAAAAAAGATGGTCCAGATTGAATGTCATAAAAAGATTAAAATAGTGGAAAAACTATTCTATTTCAAGCCGACGTTTCTTGTTCGTTTGTTAAACTTTTTTATCTTATTCTTTCTAGTTCTGAAGAAGACCTGCAAAGTCGGGTTGAAACATCGGCTTGAAATAAAATAGTTTTCCACTATTTTGGTCTTTTTATGAACCCCACCCCGGACCACCTCCTTTCGCTAATTTCATTTTTTGTTTCAAGCACTGGATAAAAGAAGTATTGCTAAAAGCTGTTGACTTTCCATATAATGGTTATAATCAAGATTTACCCTTCCAATGAAAAAAATATTTTAAGAGCTACAAACATAATCCATGCTAGTAAAATGAAAAGCTAGACCTGTGCATAAAGAATGAGAAGATGCATGAGACGGAACCTTGAGTATAGTAAGGGAAAACGTAAAATAAACCTTCCTTTGTTGCTATAAATGTGGAAATAATTATATCCATTATCTCAGAACTATAGAATAAAAAAATCTAATCATTACTAAGAGTAGTTTGTCTATTTAGCAAACATCTATAAAAAAATATGAGCCCACAATTATTTAAAAAGTCAACATAAATTCATTGTTTTGAACTTAAAACAATGTTACATATACAATGGAGCTTCATACAAAAATTAATTGGTTTAATAGGATAAAAACTTAGAAAAATTAGTTTTATTAGAAAAATGTATTGCATACAGCATTTGTATAGAAATATAAAATATAATTGATTTATAGTTTCCTTGTATATTATAAACCACATTCTGTAATATCTGCTTTATTAATTTTACTGACATAATAGCCACTATCTTTAAGACGTCTATAAAGTTTAATATATTTCCAAGCTATTTCAGTCTTTGGTAATACAAAATGTTCACAGAAAATGGTTTTGCTCTTCACTGCATCTGTGAGTGGAGGATATTTAAGGCATCTCAAAAATGCTAAAACAAATGTGTAACAGTTGAAAGTCTCTTCATTGTACCTGAACAAACATAATTAAATACATTAATTTCAATATATTTACATCCATTTAATAGCATGCAAAAAAGTAATAATTAATATGACACAACTGCATTTAGAAATATATAATAAAATTTAGTAGATTTAGAACCTAGAGTATATGCAAACCTTTCAAGATCTATGGATTATGACTAATTAGGATTATATGACCTTATAAGAGGCAAACAGTTCTAGGAGCAAATTTTCAAGTGGTCACTTTATATCCTGAAATCATTTCCTATTAAGATCTATGAAGTATCACCAATTTTGCACCCCCATGGTGAAAGCAGACTCAGACTTAGTAGGACACACCTATTCTTGAAGAGATTGGAGAATTATTGTTTAATGAAGATGGCCAAATTTTTTTAGGCCAGAGAGTAGATCATTATTTAATATACACCCAAATTCCCACCAAAATAGCACTTTACACAGTTCAAAAAGTCTGGTATATTCAACTAAATCTCAATTTAAAAATAACATTGAAGTTAGGGTAAAAGGCACAAACTGTATTTTTCTTTCCTTTGATTTTTTTTTAGCACATTATAAAGTTTTTAACAATTTTAAATTACTCATGAGCTTTATAGCCAACCCATATTTGGAGCAAAAATTATGTAATGATTAATGTAAAAAATGAAATAGATAATAATAAAATAAACAAACAAACAAATAAGAATAGTTGATTTTAAATATCCTGCAGAGCTATCTGGCCACAAATATTAACAGAAAAATCAGTATTATCTAAAATGATTGATTATGAAAATTTAAATATGATAAATATAATATACATCATAGAATCTTTCGTTTTTGAATAAAATACTATATATATATATATATATATATATATATATATATATATATATATATATATATATATATATATATATATATATATATATATATATATACTTCTGTATAATATATATTATATTGGTGTGATCAATAAGTCAGAGAAATTCGATCTACAGGAATTTTCATTGCCTAAATAAAATGAATACCGAATTTATTCTAGCATTTTGTGATATCACATCACTGTTTTCTGTAATCTAAAGTAAGTAGACATTTTTTTAAATTGTTCTTGTATAATCATTCAACAATAGAATACATAGATGACAAGGAAATGATATTTAAATACCTATTGTGTTAACTATGCAATGTTTTAAAACAAGATATAACCATCATGTGAGAAATTCTGGACTGTTTATATATTAATTTAAATTAAAATATTATTTGTAAATTTTTAACAATAAAAAAATAAGTTAAATATAAATATAAAAACAATAGATAAAATATAGTGGTAGATAATAATATCATTAGCTGTAACAGATGAATACAAAACTGTTTAGTAACCTTAATGGACTCCATGAGTCGAGTGAAGACACTTGTTCGATTACGGAATCCCACATATCAATAGCTTCTTCATCCTGAAGTTGTAGTTGATATACCAACAAGCTTTCAGACCAATCCCTGCCATAGCTCAATCCATCCTTGTCATATTCTACAGTTTGTCCCTGGGTTGTTGTAATACCAATGTGAAGATCCATAGACAGTTTGTATTCACTAATAATAAAACATGAAAACTACTTTAACTTCAAATTATAATAAATATAAAATATGAGCAACATACTAACCATTTTGTAAACTATAAGAGAAAATATTTATAAAATTAGTCATACCTGAGAAAGTCACCATTAGTTGGCTTTATTACAACAGCACAAGGGTATTGAGAAGCCTTCACAAATGGAAATGGCACTCTAGAATGGTTAAACAATAATTATAATATACACACACAATAAACAACAAACAAAAAACAACTGGTTATGATAATAATGGCCCCCAATTTAGGGTAATAGGTAGCACCTCATCTTGAAAATCTTGATACAGATTTAATTCCTGAGACATGCGAATATTTTTTCAAAATTAACATCTCTAATATAGTCTGTGTAGAGATTTGAGAAACAGAACACCTCCTTCTTTTCGGCTTATATCTTTTAAGGTAGCAGCAAGTTTAATCCAAACTTAGCTATAAAAATTTCAATGTTAACGATCTAATTAGTTCTTCTATTCTATCCTCATCCTAGGTCGTTGATCTACAACTATTGCTTCCATAATCAGAGTGGAATAATATTTCCTAAAATGAAGAGATTCTGAATTTTCTATCCATATGTTGGAGATTAATATCATAGCTGAAAGATTTTGATACTGTTGAGGAGAGCTATTAATTATCAGATCACTAAGTACTAAATTAAATTCATACACTATCACACCTAGTATTGCCTGTTATTCAAGAATAAGGTCCCTTAATCTGGCATCAGCTCTTCTCGTGAACCCAGTCAAATTTTGTATTTACTATTTATAAAGGTAAACAAGACTTGATGATGGAAGTTTTTTACATTAAAGAAAAATAAGGTGATTTTTATTTTAATCATCTCTTAATTAAACATAAAATAAAAGAAAGACTGCCGAAATTGTCACCATTTGACAGAAATGAACATTAACAAAGAATAAATATTTGATTATTCATAACATAAATAATTATCTTCTTATTTTTCTTTTTCTATTAGGAAGCTTACGTTTATCATTTTTTCATATTTTAACTATAATAATATGAATAAATAATTATAAGTATCTAACACAAAATTAAACCAGGATAACTGTAGTAAAAGAATTATGAATATTTTGAATTATTAATTGTAATAACAATACAGATTACGTCCCTCAGATTACCATGATTGAGAATATAATTATAATTTTCAAGCTGGTCAATACAATTTTAAAGACTACACTTGTATGAAAAATAAAACTAAAATTTAAAATAATAGTTATTCAAAATACATTTACTTCACCTGAAAGGAATTAAAGATGGATCTTTTAGTAAAGGAGCTCTACAAGCAGGGCAGTGCTCAGGTAGTTCAAAACAGAATATTCTTCGCTGACCACAGTGTTCAAAGCAAAGTATCCCTGGGTCATGTCTAGCCATATTAACTAAAAGAAAAATAAAGTAGAAAATTATAACTTTAAAATCCTCAAGGAAAAATAGCCCAAAATTATGACCAGTTTGGTTAGAATTTAAGAATAATTACTATATCTACTATTAATCACCTAGTTAGAAATCAATTTCGTTCGAGAAATTCATTTTCACCCTGATATTGGTGGTAAAGTTTAAATCGCTGTCAATGAACAGTCCTCTAAAGCCATTATTATGTCGAATTACTCTTATTCAACATATTTATTTATTTGAGATTGCAGTTAGTATGTTTAGGTAAAAAATAGTGATTTAATAACAATGACAGAAACGTCATATTAACAGTTGACAGCAGACTAAATAAATTTCTAGTTTTTAAAACTAAAATAGTGATTGTATACATCATTGATAACATCTGACAAGCAGGGTTGCCAGGTCATTCTTGTATTTTTTCTCCTAAACTTATCTAAATTTTCCCTTAAATCCGTTAACTTTAACCCTAAATGTTTATCACTTAATTTTGTATTACTGTAAAAAAAATTCCTCGAGAAAAAGATGAGGGTAAATTAAAAAAAATAAAAATTCATTTAACGTTTTTGTATTAGTGATAGAAGTTGGTTGGGGAGGAGAAGGAGAGGGGGGTGGGTTCCGTCATTGAAGATCATGAAAAAAAGGCTACCAAGTAAGGTCAGCTTAGCTTGTTCACCATTTTCAATTGTTACACAATTACCAATATTTCAAGGCCGATAAATGTTCGTTTGAGAATAAAATCTTCGGAGGAAACCGTTTCCGAAAAACCTTTGTATCTTAACAAAAACATGTAATATTTACTACCTAGTTTAGAAATCTCCAAATTACGGCCCACGGGACGGATCCGCTCTGCAAGTGTTTCCAATCTGGTCCGCCAAAGTTTCTTTGATTACATGAAAAATTTTAAAAACTATTAAAAAAAATGTGAAATTTAACAAATTACTCACACAAGAGGTTACTACAACATTTATTGCATGTTTCTTTTCTCTTAGAAAGCGCATTACACAACTGAAGTGTCATTTATAACAAGATTTTTTTTTTTTCATTACTAGCTATATGGCTCGCTTAATGGAGATCTCAATGTGGCCCGCGGTCCAAAATGTTGGAGCCCCCTGATCTAGTTGAAGCTTTTTTTTTTTATTTATCTATTTTTATTATCCTGGCGTTTTTCTCAACATCAAGCTTATGATAGGTTTGGCATGAAGGATTGCCTTCCAAGCTCAAAATTTTGGTCCCTCGACTTAATATTACTTTCTTACTCGACAGACAGACAGTTTACAGTAAAAGTAGACAACGAATTTTCTGCCATAAAACGTGTTAGGGCAGGAGTTTCCCAAGAAAGTTTACCAGACCTTACAGGCAACATTTGCTGACGATATTGCATTATTTACAACTCACAATAATCCAATTATCGCATCTTTTTATGCAGGGCCATATTGTTGATATTTTTAATTGTTCTACCAGGTGGACATTAAAAATGAACGAAACGAAAAGTGTGTTCATTATTTCTACACTAAAATATGATAATACCCACAAGTTTTCTTCAATAATGTTTCTATACCTAATTCAGATGAAGTGCGTTATTTGAGACTACATAGACAAGAGACTGACATGGAGAACTCATACTGCACTGAAAAGAAAACAACTCAAAAAAGAATTTGAAGAAAAAATCTTGATCAGGCTACTTGACAAATGCTCAAAATTATCCTTAACTAATTAACTTACTATCTATAAATTAATTATAAAACCTTTTTGTACTTGATTATGGAAGAGAGCTAAGGGGCATAGCGAAAAAGTGTAATATCAACAAAATTCAAACTTTTAAGAAAAAAAAAAAAAAAAAAAGAAAAAAAAAAAGCAAACACTTTTAAGATAGCAGATTTACTAAACAAGAGAAATTAAATACTTTAGTTTAAAAAAAAATATGAGAGCATATACAATTAGTGAAAATATCTAACTGTCTCATTCCTATCAATGATTTTTACTTTAACCAACATTACAGCAACCTTTCCTTTAAAATCGGCTAACTGGAAGTGGCAATTTATATAATCGATTATACACATTTCTACAATTTTAAGCAAAATCTCCGTATAAGCAAAAAGGCGAGGAAGGAGAAAAATAAAATACATTCTGGACCAAGATGACGTGATGGCCGAGCTTGTTGAAGCGTTTCCTACTTTGATATTCTTAAGTCTACCACTAGTAATGAGAAAGGGCCAAAACCAAACTATAGAAGCATTTTACGATTGGCGAAATGAGAAAAAAAAGGATACTCATTTTTATAAGTTTTTTTTTTTATTAACTTTATTTATTCACCCTCACCTGTCATAAGCAATGACAATTAGCGGGTCTGCTGTCGGTAAGTGTACAGGTAGTGGCTTGATCGGCGTGATGGAGAGGAGTACCCAGCGGCATCTCTTCCTGTCTTGATTTTAGCATATTTTTAAGTGAGGAAACCCCTCATCCAGCTCCTTTTAAGCCTTCTAAGAGTGTTTTCGGGCATGTTAAATGTAGCCATACGTTGTATAAGTGTGTTAGTATGTCCATGTAAGTTATTGTGAAATCGCTTGTAGTATGTCCGTAGGTGATCGTTAACTGTTGGCATTTGAAGGTCTTTATGTAGTGTAATGTTTGTGACGTACCATGGAGCTTTGGTTATGGTTCTGAAAGTTTTAGACTGAAAAGTTTGTAGTTTTCATATGTGTGTCGTTTTGGCTGTTCCGTAAATTTGTGAAGCGTAGGTCCATATGGGCTTAAGTAGATAATTGTAAGTGTTCAGTTTTTGTTTTGGGTTTAATTTTGAGCGTCTTGAGAGAAGTGAGTATAACAGTCGTAGTCTGAGGTTTAAAGTTTTTTTTTTTTTGTTGATATGTGGACCCCATGTCATTCTTCTGTCGAATGTCAGTCCAAGATATTGTATTTTATCTGTTCGAGGAATTTCGGCATTGTCAAGGTAAATAGGAGGGCATGTTCCATGTCGAAGAGTAAAAGTGATGTGTTGTGATTTGTCTTGGTTGAGTCGAATTTTCCAGAGTTTGCACCAGTCGGTTAGTTTTGTTAGATGCTGTTGTAAAGTCTGTGTGGTGTGTGTTGGGTTTTTATGTCTTGTCAGAATAGCTGTATCGTCTGCGTAAGTCGCTATAATAGTTCTGGTGCTGTTAGGGATGTCGTGTGTGTATATAATGTATAAAAGCGGAGCTAGTACTGACCCCTGAGAAACTCCTGCTAAGGCTGGTCTTATTGAAGAAAGTTCTGAGCCTTGGCAGACAGAGTAAAATCTGTCAAAAAGAAAGGATCGAAGTATAAGATAATAGGTAGGAGTGAGTATCGTCTTAAGTTTGAAGAGAAGACCCTTATGCCAGACTCTATCGAATGCTTGAGCGACATCCAGAAATACTCCAGTTGCATACAATTTTTGCTTCAGTGCAGTTGCAATGTAGTCAGTCACCCTGTGTAATTGATTGATGATTGAATGCTGTCGTTGGAATCCAAATTGATGGTCGGGTATTATTTTTCCGTCCATCAATATGTTCATAAGTCTTTTGTATAGTAGTTTTTCAAAGATTTTGGAACATATTGGGAGTAGACTAATTGGCCTGTTTGGTGAAGGGGTGTATTTGTCTTTGTTTGGTTTGTGGATCATTGTAATGTATGAGTATTTCCATTGTACAGGAAATTTGGTCGTTCTGAGTATTGCATTGTAAATAGATGTCAAGTAAACTAGAGCTTTTCAAGGCATTTTCTGGAGCACTTGAGTGGTTATCAGGTCATGACCAGGGGCTTTCTTTTTAGGTAATTGTCTAATTTGTTCTGCAACAAGTTTCGAAGTGAAACAAGGTGGAGGTAATTCCAATTGTAGTGGAAAGTCTAAGGTGTTTAGTACTTTTTCTTCGTGTTCAATGTTATTGAAGTCACTATGTGGAGTAAAAACCGAAGAAAGATGGATAGCGAATAGCTCCGATTTTTCTATATCTGACACGGCCCAGGAACCATCCTCGTTTCGGAGAGGTGCAGACACTTCATGATGATTTACAAGTTTTTTTGTATGCCTCCATAAGCTCCCATCGTCAGTAGAGAGATTTCTGATGTAGTTGTCGTAAATTGTAGTTTTATAACTTTGAATATGTCGTTTTAGTTCATTGTTAAGTCTATTGAATGCCCGTTTGTCAGATGGCAGTCGACCAGTTTGCCATACTTTGCGAGCTCTTCTCTTTGCCCTGATCAAATCTCTTATGTACTGAGGATATGTTGGAAGCCACTCATTTCTGTTGGACCTTGGGACAGAAGAAGACAATATAGCTTGTTGAATGCTGTTTGTGAATTTATCCACAGCTTCTTCAACTTCATATTCGTTCCTTAGAGACATTGGAATAGAGAGCATTTCGTTTAGCTTTTCTTGATATCCATTCCAATCGATAATTCCTCCTACGAGAGATGGTCGTTTCATTGTAGTACATGGATCATCATTCAGTACTAACCTGAGAAGAGAATGATCCTTATTAACATGTATTTCAAACTCATTTATAAAACAGATATCAAAGGTTAAAGATTTATTATTTATTTCCTACATTAAGACAAACTGTACAAAGTTAACCGTGCTTAATACTTAAAAACAGGTTTTGATCGCCTGATCAATAAATAAACGATAAGCAATGGCAGTAATTGCTCATCTCTTTGTCTAGTTCTGTGTGTTTCAGTGTGAGTGAATGCTATGACACAGTTCAATTTATAATTATCATGGGAGACATCATAAATTTATTCACTTTTGCAGAACAAACAGACATGTTTTTAACTTATAGCGAGGTACATAGGAACGGTGCTGCTACTGTTCGAAAGTATCGTGAAAAATTTCCTAACCGAAGAATACCAAATCGTAAAACGTTTGAGGCCATTGAAAGACGCCTTAGGGATAATGGCAAGCTGAAATCTATACGAGTAAACGCCGATCGACAAAGATTTCGACGAACTGCCAACGTTGAAGAAGAAATACTGGATGCTGTTCAGCTATCTCCTACTACTAGTACTAGAGACTGACGCCGTTTCGATGTTTCCTCTACCAGCGTATGGCGGACTTTACGCGAACAACAATTGTGTACATTTCACGTATCGAGTTGGCAAGATTTGTTACAACAAGGTTATAACAAGCGCAGAAATTTCTCCCAGTGGTTAATTTGACAATGCACACGAGATCCTAACTGCTTGAACTACATTTTTTCTACTGATGAATCTTGGTTTACAAGAAGCGGGATTCCTCATTTTCAAAATACCCATACTTGGACTGAAGAAAACCCTCATACGACTGCTGTTGGACATTACCAACGTACCTTTTCTTTAAATGTCTGGTATGGTCTTCTAAGCGACTACATCATCGGCCCTTTTTTGCCACCTAGGCTATCAGGTATATCTTACTTGCATTTTTTGCAAAATAATTTCCTAGAAAATATTCCGCTAGGCATTAGGCAAAGGCTTTGGTTTATGTATTATCCAGCTCACTTTTCTAATAGTGCCAGTGATTATTTAAATGCAACTTATGGAGACCGATGGGTTGGTCGAAACGGACCTGTTAAATGGCCACGATGATCTCCGGATTTAACGCCATTAAATTATTTCGTGTGGGGCTGGATGAAGTCTATGGTTTATTCTGCGGCAGTTGGCACGCAAGAAAAGCTAAGAAATCGGATCTTGGAAGCCGCAGTAACTATCAAGTACCATCCCGATGGTATACGAAGAGCCAGAGAAGCATGAATTCGTCGTGCTGAATGTTGTTTTTAACAAAACCTTTGAGCCCCTTTGAACAGTTACTCAAAATATTGTAATAATAATAAATAAATAGGAATTAACCTTTGATATCTGATTAATAAATGAGTTTGAGATATATGTTAATGCGAACTTTTTTGTTTATTTTTTGTTAGAAAATACATATCTAAAATAGTGCGGTGCAATTATGAAACAAGCTGTATATAGATGAATATTTTTCCTCGCTAAATTTCAATAAAAACTATAGGACCAAATCAGATGAAATTCTGTATATGTAATTGGTTCCCAAGCGGACCAATACCATTAAACTCTAGATAAATTTCGCCCGTTATAAAGTCTCCGCAATGCAAGAACGTTTTCCACTGTTTTTAATGAATTGTACATTTCTACTGCTCATTCCAGTAAATTTGGAAGGTTGAAATTTTGTATGCATATTAATTTGTTGTGTTTGGGAAGTACCTTTGAATGGAGGGGGGAAGGAGGTGGAGGAAAGGAGTTGGAGAGAGGAAGTGGTATTAGTATTAAAGATAAGGTTTTAACCTACAAAACAACTACGAAAAAATCCTTCAAATTGAACCATTAGTTGGAGAGATTTAAATCCAGGTTATCTTAGAAATTCGATGTCCCTTATTTGTTTTTTTGATATCTCAAAAGTATAAATCCACTAGTAGATTCCTAATGCTCTTTTGACAATTATTCTAATAATCTGCTTAGCTTAATTTAGAAAACAAATATAATAAATATTTTTAAACAAACCTAATCTGAACGAATAAATATTTACCTAGTTGTTAGGGAATGTCGTGCGTTGGAATACGCAATATACACTTAATTTATAACTTTTTGAAAATAATAAACTATTGGGTAATTATTTGCAGAGCTTTTATTTCTCTGTTTAGCATCAATGAAACAATTTAACCTCTTTTCATCTTTTATTAAATAAAAAATATAAGAAAAATAGAACCTCAGTGACCGATCTCTACTGCTCTTGCTTTTCATTTTTATTTTGTTTTTACAATTGGCTCGTGTTATAGGACAATATTTGAAATTTTTCGTGGATTTCGTTAGCGAAACTTCGTCGCTGACAAATTTAATAAAATAAACTTATATTGAGAGAGATAATTTTAAAGGAGCACTTGGCTGAGTTAATTCCTCCTGACAGGTATTGTTAGTTAGCAGCTAAGGTGCGTGCATTACTACAAGGGTAGCTATGGGGCGAGGGTTGTTGTTTACAAGTATCCCGGGTTACCGCGGGCCGCTTCTGGCAACACACTGTCAACCGCCATCAACCCGAGCAGGGGCTTCAGTGGAATCGGCATCGATCCTCGCCGCTGGGTCATCAACACTTCCTTCTCTGCGAGCGACGCTCTGCCAGGACACGGGTTACAGGTGAGTCATTCCATACCGGTATCCCACGGCTACATTGCACAAGAGCTTTCTACAATAGCTCAGAATACAGAGGAGAAAAAGTAATCTCTTTTCTAATGAAACAACATGAAATTTATTTTTATCAATACATACATAAAACGGATGTATTTTTACAAATTTGCTTAAATATTTACTAGTTTTTTATGATCGGCTAATTAATTAATAACTAACTTCATTGTTGGAAAATTAGAAAACATAGAAGGTATACAATAGAGGAACGCTTAACCAATTTGTTAAGCATAACAACAGTAAGAAACCAAAACCTAATAAAACGGCTTAAAAGGATTTAATTTTGGAAAATTTCAACCCCAACATACAAATGTGTGAATATTCTGCACAATATTGAATAAATTAGTTCATATTGTTCATTTCCTCCTAGAAAAAGTAAAAAAAAAATTTTTCTTTCAGATGCTTTTCAGAATGTTTCCTAATTCAGGTTATGCTACAGTTTTTGGTATATAGCTAGAATACAGTTAAAACGCTCAAAAAACTTAATAAATCTTATATAAAATATAACATTGAATACATCAACGTCCTTACCACATATTTATATGAAGAAACTTTTTTTTTTCAAAGTAAACCAATATTTTATTATAATACATAAATGGACAACCAGAGAATAAAAAAAAAACTTACTAAATGTTTAAAAAGTCACTTTCAAAATATCAATGTTGAATTTTTTAATATTTTCAAAGTTGGTTTCTTTAGGTATTATGCATATGCAAAGATTTTTATTGTAGGTAGCTACCAGCAGATGAATGGAAACATAAAACTGAAGTTAATATTTTAAAACAATAATAAGATTTTTTGAGTTTTCCATTATAAGAAATTTATCGATTAAACACTTTCGTCTGAAACAATAATAAAAAAAAACTGCATAAAAATAGAGATGTTTTTGAAGTGGCGATGATTCTCCAACAAGGAAAAAAAATGAACATTTACTTATTCATGATCCACAGTTCAAAATTCTCGTTGTACAGAGCCTTTCCAATCAGCGAGTCCCGATCAGCGATTTTCTGGTTCGACACACACAATTTCATGTATAATGAGTCATTTATATTTTTATGAAATATAAAATATTCCTTTGGGTTAAAATAAAACTATATAAAAAATCCATTTCCTGTATTTCATTATTTTTCTATTTTGCTGGCTATTATAGAGTTACTACAATCATTATAAGAAATCAGATAAATTATCGTGACTGTTGTATATTACTATTTTTGAATTTTTGGTAAGACACAGAAAGGTTCTATTACGATATTGGAGAAGAAAGTGTTAAAACCTAAATGAAAATTCAAACTATTTGTGACTCCTAGTTACAAATTTAGGTTTCAATAAGGTTATATATAATAATCGAATAAATAAAATAACAGATACATATTAATTATAAAGTGAATAAAATTCCATGTGTATATTTTATACAGTTGTACAAGATCGCTCTCGTTGACATTGTAAATATAAAACGGGATGTTTATGACAACGTCTTTGCATTCTAAGCTCCATTAACTGAACAACACAATTTCTATCAGTAATTTAAACTAAAAATATAAATCTAGTTTCCACTCTTTCGGGGCCAAAAATATCTGTGAACACCTTACATTTTATTGTATTAATTTTATCATCAAAGAACCATTTTTAAAAAAAATAGAATCATTCAGTTTTTATTTTATATCAAATATTGTAGTATTTTTCTATTCATCAATAATTCGTTAAATTATTTTATCGCCTAAAAAAATGTAATGCTACTATTATTATAAAAAATGGTTTACTGAAAAACAAAACAACAACTGATTTTGTGATGATGATAAAATTACCAGAATAAAATCGGATAGCATGTTCACATATTTTTTTTGAACCAGTGCATAACTTATTACTGCTGACTCGAGTTTTGGTGAAATGGGATTTGTAGGACAATCACTTAGCAATGCATGTCAGCGACTCTTTGTGAATGATACAGCGATCTTTACACATTCTTAACTTTCTAACCTTCGGGGACTTTTTTCAAAATTGTGATAACCAACTTGAATTCCATGTCCGCATTTTTCATTCATTGTTTATCGATATTGTAGTACAAAAAATAATTAATATTTGAAACTAAACAAAATAATTCTACTGGAACCAATAAAATATTTCTGCAGCATATATTTATATAAAAATTATATATTTACAGTTTTTTTTCCTAAAATGGAAAACTAAAATGATGAAGTACACAAAAATAAATTATATTTATTAAATAATTAATAATAAATTATATTTATAAAAAAAAAATATTTATTTTAAAACTTCTCTTGTAATATTCTTCATTTCCCCACCATAATGACTATACATTTATTTTCTTTTTCTATTTTGATAAATTTGATTGTTAATTCTAATTGATGTGTCATTTTAGTTTTCGTTTATACATATATATTCAATAATAAATGAAATATAAACATTTTTAAAATGCCTTTCGGTAAACATATCCAATGAATATTATTTTAAAGGTTTTACTAAAAAAACATCTTTAATTATAGAGGGCCTACATACTAAAAACTTCCAAATTAATTAATAAGTAGGTGTTAATTAGAAGAGTGTCTGTATTTCATTAACATGTATTTATTTGAGATAATGACAAGAAGATAACCAAAATCATGTTTGCTTATCCATTAACTACAATAATATGGTTTTGAAAATAGGGTTCATAACCATTTAACTATGAAACATTAACTATGATTAGATCTGTTAAAGAAATACGGAACTTAAAAAATGCCTTTTCCTTATATACACTTACAATATCTTCTTACAAAATTTGAAAATACAGCAATTTTAATTGTACTGTACTAATTTTTTTTTTTTATTTGGGTATAACGTCCTTATGTATTTGATATATTATTGGTGAAACCTAACACATCCTTAAGATAATCTCTTCTGGAAGTCTTAAAAGATCGAAATTCATTCTAAAATGTAAAGTGTTATCTAAAAAACAAAAAAACTTTTGATTTTTATAAATTGTATTACAAATTAAAACAAGTTTTTCCAGCTATATAAATATTTCAGTATTTGAGTGTGAATACGATGTTTTTAAGCAATATATTAACAAAAACTCGAAAATTGTTGAAAACTTAATGTTTTTCTTGTTGTTTTTGATATTTTTTGTACATTTAGAAAATAATAAATAATTGGTAATTGGTTGACTGTCGTGGATAATGAAGAGAAGAATAGTTGGGGTGCTCAGTCAAAAAAGGAAGGCAAAAATAAATTATAATATTTATTTTTTACATCTGCCGACGTTTCGACCTGAAGTTCAGGCCATCATCAGGGCTAAGAAAATAACCAGATAACAAGGTATGAGAAACTTAAGTAATGATGGTAAAAAAGATAATAACAAAAAAAAAAATGAGAAAATAAAATAGATTAGATCTAGATAAAATAGATCTAGATAAAAGAAAAATAAAATAGATAGATATAAAGTAAAATAAAATTGTTAGATATTATTATTATTAGAAATTGTTATTATTAGAAAATAATAAATTTTGTCAATCACTATTCATTTGACTGCAAGTTTTTAATTGGCATCATCCCGAAGACATAAGGGTGTATTATTCTCTCCATTCTTCCAAAGTTTAAATTTTTTAAACAAAATTTGAATTTGTTGAAAAATTCGCTAACATTAGCAAACTGCTGTTTAAGAATTAATTGGATAAAACTGTTTTCTTTTAATTTAACTTTGGTTTACTATTCTAAATTTCATCATGAAAGATTATTTGTCTAATATGTGTTCCTCACTACTCTGAAGAAACAATTACAATCAATATTGTTTATTACAAATTACTCAGCACTTTAGAATAACAAGAGACTCAGAAAAATAAGAGATATGCCAAAATCAATAATCATACTCCTTCTACGGCTGGTAGTTGAGGGAGAAATATCTATTCAAAGACTAAGTTCGGACAGACAAATTTCACGATAAGTTATCATTCACCAACATTCGAAATATCCTAGCGATTTGGATTATGGATTAAGATATTATTTCAATAATTTTTACCTGCTGTATATGCCAAAATCACTTTAAAAACAAAGGCTGGTGCTTGATGAGGATACGTACATGAGGATCCTCTGGATGTGACTGCCAACAACGGCCCGGATGTCCTTCTTTTAGTGAAACCCATTTCCGGCCAGTAGCCGATTTCTATGGGACCACGAATCACGTGACCTAAGAGAACCATTCATCCTCAGGAACCCGAGCAAGCCGTGTAAATAACAATTAAACGCCTCATTCGACCGATGTTCCACACACTCACCACGATATATATCTGTCGCTAACTGTCCAGGCCCGGCTTTTAAACAGACATCTAAACTTGAATGGCATTTACTGCATCGATTTGCAATGCATTTAAAATTGAATGAACTAAAAATACTGTCATTAATTAAAAATGTAATTGAAGATAAATACAGCGGATTCATGGGAGAAGAAAAAAAAGATAATTTTTCCTGCTAAAATTACCATAAAAATACATTATAAGGTTCAATAAGGAGCAGGTTTGGACCTAATAAGGATTTATGTTTCAGTTTTACGAAAGCGGGTTCTTTACTGAATTAAGTTCTACATATGCACTAATAATGTCATATCATAAAAAAATTACGCAATTATTTTCTGTTAATTACATGAGCAAGTGCTATGTAAATTTCATTCGTGATAATAAAAAATAACATGTTTACGATCAGTCAGTGACTTGAATGCAAGTCTTGGGCAAACAAATGAAAAAAAAAATATCTTTACAAATAATCGTTGTATCTTTACTGATAATTGTTCGATTTGGATTTTTTTACGGAAATTTATTATGCTTTCGAATAATTGTTTTTTGGTGTAATTGATCATAAAATATATACTTTTTGAGTTATTCGTAAAAAAAGTTTCTTTTCCTTCATAACACTTTTTCCTGAACTTTTGGGGAATATGATTATTTTTTCCCGCCTGGAGGGGATCAAAATCTTTAATGTGATGGGTCAATCATTAGATTCATGAAGAATTAACAAAGATTCGGCGTACCAAAAGAAACAAAACA